AGGGGGTGGGGTGGGGATCATCAGGCATGGTTCTTATAAGGAGCAAGCAACCTAGGTTCCTCGCATGTGCAGTTCACAATAGGGTTTGCACTTCCATGAGACTCTAAGGTCACCACTGATGTGACAGTGGGCAGAGTTCCACTGGCACAATGCTCACCTTCTGCTGTGCAGCCCCGGTTCCTAACAGGCCATGGACCAGTACCAGTCCATGGCCCTGTTGTAAGAGAACATATAACATTTAAAATATGTGCTAGTTGACTATGTTATTGCAAGTGCTTCCAGTCAACAGTATGCTATTCATATTTGTGTTTTTGCAGAGTTAAAAGTTATATATAAATTTTCAACTGTATGGGGAGTTGGTGCCCCAACCCCTGCATTGTTCAAGGGTCAACTGTATATAGAAATAACACATTGGCTGTGAGGGGTCATTTTTATTTTATGAAAACTTTACCATGCCACTTACATTTATCAGTATCTTGAATTTTGCACCGAAAACACTTTGGAGATTCTGTGTTTCAATTATTCTTTTAAACATCTGACTGAACAATATTCTGCCATCCCTAATTTTACACACTGATTTCTTTTTTAGCCATTTATTTTTGCCACCATAAAAAATATTACAGTAAATCCTTGGACATAAATCCATTACACCACCTTTATGTCCATTAGACTCCGAGAAGTGAGATTTCTGGGTTGAATGGTTTATGCATTTCTAATTTCGTTAGTTATTTCTAGATTGCTTTCCAGAAGGGCTGTGGCATGTTATATTTACACCAACAATATGTGAAGGTCCCTCTTCTCCAGAACTTCCCAGTAGCAGGGAAACCTTTGCCAGGCTCAGGTAAGAAAAGGAGAATGAATCTGATGATTGCTGAGTCCCTTCTAGAGGGAGGGTCTGTTAATGAGCTGGTGCCTTCCAGATCTCCCAGGAAGACCTGGACCATGCAAAGACTTGGCCAGCATTTTGTTTAGTATTTCTCCCCTGCAGTTGAACACTCCACTCTCTTTAATGCGTTAACCATTACCCTGATCACAGTTCTGAAAACATTCCATAATATTCAAAAATATGGAAATTTCACATGCAGTTTTAATTTCTCTTGAAAAACTAGAAACACATTTAACATAGAGCCCATATTCCTGCATGGCAATAGTTTGTTATATCCGAGTAGGGGCTGCCCAATTTAGACAGGGCAGGGTATATGTTCTCCAGTTTGCCATGCTCCTCACCACCCTTTATTGCCTCTTCAACTGTGAGCTCATTGATAACTATCATGGCATTTGCCCTTTTATTTTTTACATCAAGTCCACTTTGCTCACTGCAAACCTGCTAAATTCCTCTAGGCACTGAGTTTTAAACTTTATAAGAACAAAACAAGATGATAAAATCTTCAAGGGGAGTGGAGAGACTCACTAAAGAGGGAAGATGGGTGAGGAAACAGTTTCTCAGGCAATCTCCCACAGTTTAGCATGAATTCCACCTCTCTTTGAGAAGGTCTTTGTTTTTATCCAACTTCTGCCACCACATACAAGAGAATTAGCCACATAAATAAAACACAAACTCATCTAAGGAGATATGAGCTGACCAGAGTGTTTGGGGAAAGAAAGCTAGGTGCAGTTGTTTTTGAGCTAGAATGTGCATCATATCACTTAGGGGAGATTATGGGTGTAAAATGCAGATTCCAGGGCCTTACCCTCAAGGATTCTTATACCTGGATTGAAGCTAGGGTTCTGCATCTTTTTTTTTTTAAGTTAAGGTCTAACTCTGTTGCCCAGGTTGAAGTGAGTACAGTGGCATGGTCACAGTTCACTGCAGCCTTGACCTCCTGGGCTTAGGAGATCCTTCTACCTCAGGCTCTTGTGTAGCTAGGACTACAGGTGCACAACACCAGGGCCTGGCCACTTTTATAAATTTTTTGTAGAGATGAGGTCTCATTATGTTGCCTAGCTGGTCTCAAACTCCTGGGTTCAGGCAGTCTTCCCACCTTGGCTTCCCAAAGTGCTGGGATTATAGGCATGAGTAGAGCTCTGCATTGTAAACAAGTTCTTCAAGTGGTTCTGCTACTGGGGCTCTTGAGAACCATGCTTTGAGATGGTGGCATCTACCTAAGCAGTGTCACCATGATTGAATACCTGTGGCATCGCAACCGTAAACCCATAACTGGGTAAAATATACCCACAACAGAACATTCAGTTCCAACTTGTTCCTAGCTGCCATGAATAGCCTTTCCAGGTAAGGGTGATCTGTGGGCATAGGTTCTAGACTCCCAGTGTTCCTGAGAATTTCTAGGATACTTACAGATCTGGGATTGGAGATGTATAAGGAGGCATCACATACAATGCCATACCCCACCAGCCGTTCTCCAGGGAAGAGGGTGCTGGTACTGGCAGGGGAGATCAGGACCTCAGTAGTCTCGGGGAAGATCCATTCCACAGTCACATCGCTCAGGACCGGGGCCATGGCCTTCTTCAAGGACTTGACCATCTGTTGGGCAGGGGCAGAGCACAGGTTGGGAGGATGTGTGAGCAGGGGTGTGCACAGATGAGGATGGTGAGGACTGTGTGGGTGTGAGCAGGGAAGAAGGGACGACAGCCCTTGTCTGGTTTACCCAGTGGTGGACACACCTCTGCACTTCTTAAGATTCCTAGAATGTCAGGGTTGAAAAGGATCTTTGCTGTCATCTTTTCTAAGCTTAGAGTTTTACAAATGAGAAAAATCCGAGGCTCAAAGCAGAGCTGTGACTAGCCCAATGGCACATGGAAGGCTTGTGTCAAAGCATGGGTTGGACGACGATCCTGAGCTAGTTAATTTGCCTCCCTGGGCCTCAGTTTCCCCTTCTGTTAAAGTGGGAGGTTACAGTTGAAGGATGATCTGAGATCCTGGATCTGAAGTACCCGCCACATGGCAGGTGTTCAGTAAATGACAGCTATGGCTTAGCATCACTTAGAGGAAATCTTCCAGATGTCCTGCAAGCCTGAAGAAAACGATTTGGGGATTATGACAGCTTCAGAGGTGAGCTCTCAAATCTCCCTTTGAGAAACACCATGCCTTTTTGCTGCAAGGAATGCAGATGGGTGGCAGTTTCCAGGTGCAGTTGTGCCCCAGCTTTTGAGCCAAGACCACACCTCTCCCTGGAAACCTCCACCCAAGGATTCAGCACAGCAGGGATCCTAGCACCTGGCCATTTCAGTCTGATGTAGACTCTGTAAAGGGCAGGGCTTGCTCCAGAGCTGCCCATCGGCTTGGTTGAGACCTAGCCAGAGCTGCTCAATCTGCCCAGTTCTGCTCCCCCACTTTCCTTCCACAGGTGTCAGATCTGCCTCATGGCCTGAAGAGTTTCCTTCCTGCTTCCTACTCTTCCATTTTCCACAGACACCACCTCAGGAAATCTCTTCACTCTTAGCCCCAGTCCCGTCCCTGCTTCCCGGACCGACAAGGGGATTGTCTAAGGATGGGATGATTCGTGCCAAACATGCAGGAAATGGAAAGAAGACTACAGCCAGTTTCCTTTATTTCTGGCCCCTTCTGAGCCACATTTATCATCACCAGGAATGTGCTCAGAAATGACCCCAACACAACTCCTATCTGTACAGATGGTGGCTCTTTCAGGGACCCCAGGCCTGCCCGAGCAGTGGATGAAGCATGTGGTCTAGTGTCTGAAGACCAAGAGATCTAGCATCCTGGCACTGCTCCAGGAGCTGCCCACTCTGGCCTCTACCTCTCTGGTTCTCTCTGGAGTGCAGTGTGGCTTAGTGTTGAACTCCCAGCTCTACCACAGAGTTGCAGTATGGGCTGGGCTTCTGGTGTTCTGGCACCAGAAGGGTCTGGAGGGCTCTGCCACCACCTACCTTGGGTTGCAGCCGCTCTCCCTCTGCCAGAAACTCGGCACTGCCCTTGGACACAGATGCCAGCCCTTTCACCAGTCTGTGGCAGACGTTGGGCCCGATTCCAAAGCTATAGCACCTAGGGGAAGGGAAGGAGGAAGGCTAATGCCATTCTCTGCATCTGTGCCCCCTGATGGGGAAAGGAACAGAGCATAGCCTGGCAATGCGGCTGCAGAGCTGGCCCTGTCTCCAGGCAGAGGGTGCGAGAAAAGGAAGAAGCACCAGCGTGGTCACTTGCATCTATGCATTAACAGTCAGCCACTCCCACCCAGCACAGAGTCAAAGTTGTCCAAGTCTTTGGGAGTTGTGTACAGAGGTGTGGGCAACTCATCCCTTCTGAGTTTTTGAGGGGAAAAGGTGAACTTTGAGATTAGCCCACACCATCCTGGAAGCAAAACACCATGGGAATTGTGGGTCCTCTACTTCCCTCTGACATTTTCCACATAACTCTGGCTCTGGTGTTCCCAGGCCTGGTGACCCAGGATAGATAACCCAGCCCAGACCCCCAATCCGGGCCCACCTGGTGGAGAAGGCGTGGTTCCGCACGAGTTCCAGCACCTTCCCCGTGTTGCTGATGGCGCCATCCGTGATGAGGAACAGGAACCGTGGGTGGCCTTGGTGCACTGGCTGCCGGATGACCCACTTGAGAGGGGAAAGGACGTTGGTGCCACCCATGTCGGCCTGCATTCTCTGGATGTTATCACAGGCCATGGCCAAGCTCTCCTGCAGGGAAGGACCACGGGTAGGGCAGACAGTCCCCGGGGTCACCCTTTGGCACAGAGACTCTAAGCCACCAGGGGATGAGCTCTTCATTTCCCCAGAGCTTGGCTCTGCCTCCCTGGAGTTGGCCCATGCTTGCGATTTCATCCCAGTCCCACCCACAGGAGGACCAGGCGGCTTCTCATTTGGTGTGATCCCCTCAACAGCGCCCCCTACCAATATCTGAACGGCCACCATTTGTTGCATATTGACTTGATGTTGTCCTTTCTGGGTTCCCCTTTACAAACATGAGCACTCCCGGAAAAGGTAGCACATCAACCCCCTAATTCCTCAGCACATATGAGGTTTCTGCTGGGGGAGGTAGGAGATGTGGTGAAAAGAACACTGGAATCTTAAGACCGGGGTCCTGAGCCTGACTCCAGCACAGCTCTAGCTCCCTATGATGTTTTGAAGAAATCATTTCCCCGAATGGACTTTAGATTTCCTGCCTCCTGGAGCAGCTCTGTGGGACCCAACTGGTTAAGGATTCCTGGCCCGGGGGGATGTAATTGTGGCAAGTGTAGATTCTCACTGGATGCAATGACCTCTTCTGCTCCTGGCTCAGAAAGATGTTTTTTCAACATCCGCTCTTGGATGAGACTTGTAAGTAACAGCATACATCAGAGGTCTTAAGAGGTATTTGTAGCTTTGAGCTAACAAGACTAGAAATTAATCCCAGGGGAGTAATTAAGGGTGTATGCAAAATCTATGACACAAAGATGACTAAATAGAAAGAAATGGAAGGAATTTAAATGCCTGACTGTAGGGGTTTTGTTAAATAAGTCCCAATCTAACTGTGTAGTGAAACACTAGGCAGCCATTACTATTATGTTACTGATTAATACTTACTGGCATGAAAATATATCCATGATAGTCTGTTGTGGGCAACAGAACAGTATGGAAGGCCTAATCCTATATTTATTGAAAAGGTGTGTAAATGTGTCTTTTCTTCTTTTTTTTCTGACTGGTACAATCATGGGAGAGATTTTAAAATTTTTATTTTAAATGCCTACTTATCTATTTTAAAACTGTGGGACAATAAACATATATTCTTCTTTTTTCTTTCTTTTTTTTAAAGAGATGGGTCTTGCTATATTGCCCAGGCTGTACTCGAACTCCTAGACTCAAGCGATCCTTCTGAGTAACTGGGACTACAGGTGTACACAACATATATCATTCTTATATTTTAAAAATTCATGAAATTATTTTTGGTTGAAAAGTAGCCCACATGTCTGTTCTGTCTCCTTCCCTCCTCTCTTTCCTTCCTTCCTCCCTCCCTCTCTTTCTTTCTCTTCTTAGATCTGGGTAGGATGCTCTAATTTTGAATGTGTTGCTAGGGTCACAGTCCTCTGTTTCAACCTGTAGCTTGGGCCTTGTGAGTTCCATTCCTAGCCCATGTCCATGCCCACTCACCCACCTACTAACTGACCTTCCCATTCACTTCCTTAGCTCACCTCACAGGGGTCCATCATCCTCATGTGACAGAAAATTCAAGGGTGGCAGACCTAGGCTATGTTCTCTCTCTCCTCTCTCCCTGTACCCCATCTCTGTGCACACACATACTTTATCCAACATATTATGTGATTTTACAGAATGGAATGTCAGAAAGCTGAGATGTCAGAAAAAAAATGCTGGTCACTTCTCTTTGGTTCTCTCCCCCGGAGTGTGACCTGGGTTCTCTGCGGGTGGTGGCTTCTGAGACCAGCCCTAGGCTAACCTCTTCTTTCCTTTTCCCTTCTTTTCTCTGCTCCCATTGCCCCCACCTCCTGGTCCCAGCCTTGCCCCCACCTTACCTCAGTGTAGGTCTGACTGGAAGGAAAGAGAGTCTTAAATGTGGATCCAAACCCAATGACATTGAAGAGGCAGGTTGGCACGAGGCTCTTAAGAGCCACCATCAAGGCATCCTGGCAGACAAGAAAGAGGTTTCCAGGATCAGGCAGGAGTTACTGTCCTCTGCCACCACATACCAGTATTCCCACTCCCAGCACAGGAGCAGCCGCCAGACAGGCCTTTCCCTGCTCTGCCTGCACCCATGACCTCCTTTCCTTCACATCAAGAAATTTGCTGATGCTGGCCAGAGGATGGACCAAAGCCATCATCATAAAACTTCTCATCTGTGTAGCAGGTCTGACTTCTCGAAGTCATTCTATTATGGCTTGCTGGTTCTGTCTGTCTCTTGCTGACCTTGAGAGGTAGGGGGAGCAGGGAGCACGCACTCCCTCTACCAAAGCACAATTGATGTCTAGGAGGAAAGAGGTCTGGTCCAGGTCACACTGTTGGTGGAACAGCTTCTAGCTCTACTCCAGGGCCTTCTGCATCATCAGACTCATGCTAACTATCACTAACTAGAGACAGATCCCCAGGGCCAGTCTCTTCAGCTCATATTTGTTGAGTGCATAGGATGTTTTTTACTTGCGTTACCACACTCATCTTCACCATAACCCTTTGAGGCAGGCACACTATTATCCCCATTTTACAGAAAAGAAAATTGAGGAACAGAGAGGCTAATTGACATGTTGGTGAGCATCTAGGTAGTAAATAATGAAGTCAGGGCTCAAGCACTTGTCACTCTGCCTCCAAAGCCTGTATGTACCACCAAGAGACCTTGATAAAGGTACATTTGAAAAGTAATGAAAACAAAGCCGGTGGAGGTGATGGTTGAAGCAAAATTGATGATGGCAATGATAACAACAATGATGATGGTGCTAATAATCATAAAAATGATACAATGCAATGATAAAGCAATTACTATGTGCCAAACATTGTGCTAAGCAATTTGTATTAATTATCTCAATCTCGATACCACATATTATAGCAGAGTGGTTAAGAGGGTACATGTTAAAGTTATGTTTATATATGTTTATAGTTGCATATAAACATATATAAATATATTATAGTTGCACCATTACTAACTTGACCTTGGGCTAGTTTAGTCATTCCTTTAAGCCTTAACCTTTCACATTGTAAACATCAGTAAATGGCTATTATTACCAACCCAATGAGGTACATGTTAATATGCCTTTTTTACAGATAAGGAAATGGAGGCTCAAGAGAGTCTAGGAATTACACTGGATGATGAGACTTTCAAAACATGGCTCTGGGATCTTTATTCCTGCTAGCTCTGCCTTGGCAGAGAAATGAAAGTCTCCCCCTCCCCCTCATATGGTTAATTGGTGGCACCCCGGGGATCTCAGCATGGCTTCAGGGAAGCAAACTGTCATACTCCAGAATCTAGAAGGAAGCAGCTGCAAGTGGATTCTGGCAACTTTCACACCATACAGCTGCCCATCCCCCTCTCCCATCCCCCTCTGCAAGCATTAACATTAAACATTAACATTAATGTTCTCTCTGTCTCTCTTCATTGCTTGTGTCAAAGCATTTGGTTTCTCTACAAGAGAAGTCAATATCTGCTTATTTTGTCATTAGGCACTAATGCATATTCCTGTGAGCAGGAGGCTCTGCTGATCCATACAGATTGTCCCTGCTCACACCTATTAGAATTTTTAAAGCCATGTTTTTGGCAGCAAGTGGCAGTTGAAGAATGAGACCAGCTGCAGGAAATTAAATTGGCTGAACTCTCCCCTTTGGCATGGGCTGTTTGTATTTCTATTCTCTCCCTCTTCCCTGAGCCTAGTTTTTCCTAATACTTCAACTCAATGGGTCATAATTAATGACCCAAGCAGTCTCCTAGTGGCCTCATTGTCATGGGGAAAGGGATGTGTAGGCAGAGTAATTTCTGGGCCTTTCTCTAAAAGGGTCATGTTTAGCAGAATGAATTGCACCAATGCAAAGCCATTTGTGAAGGAATGACCTTGAGTTTGGTGAGCTGAACTGGAGAAGACCAGGAGAGACTCCAAGGAGGGAAGGGGGCTGAAGGGAGAGCCAGAGAAAGTCATTGTAAGGAAATTCTGGAATGCAAAAGTCTGACTAGTCTTCAGTTTAGAAGGTGGAATTCAACTCATAAACCAGCTCCATTTAATGGAAAGCAACTGGCTAGAACACTGGGATGAGAAAGATATAGAGACTGAGTCCAGGTTCAGCAGGGAAAAAAAAGTTGCCATGATCAATTATTAATGTCTGCCTGGACTTGGGAGAGGGGAGTGGAGGGACATGTGACATGTGTTCACCCTGCCTGAATTAATCCTTCCTCCTCACTTTGCAGAAAGGACAGCTGAAGCCCAGAGTTGAGAATCAACTTGTCCACAGCCTTATATCAAGTCAGTGGCAGGATTGATCCTGGAACCCAGCCATTGCTCTTGGCACGATGCCATGCAGCAGAAATGGCATCATCAGAGAAGAAAGCTTTTTGTAGTGGAAGAGTATGCATAATTCTCCATAAGCGATGGGAGGAAAGTGAGTATTGGAGCAAGGTACAGAAGGCTCAGGCTCCCTCACTAGCCCTGTGATGCTGGGAAACACACTTAGCTTCTTGGAGACTCAGTTTCTTTACCTAGAAAATGGAGGGGCGATGGATTAAATTCTTCCTAAGGGAAGTTTTAGGCTTATGATGATGTGATGCTTTGGGGTAACAGAGGAATTGATATGGCTGTGGAAAGGAACACAGGCAGCCACGGAGGCCTGGCGTGTTTCAGCACCCAGAACTCTGGACAGCTCCCACTCCAACTCTTGTCTTTGATGGTGGGGCAGGGTAGGGAGAAGGTACCAGTGAGACCTGCATCCCAGTGTCAAGAGACCTTAGACAGGAAATAGGGTCTCAGGCATACCTTCTCTGCCATACTTCATGACAAAACCTAGTCACAGCAAGCCTGAGGAGATAGCTGGCATCACAGATCCCACCTAACCCCCTCTTCTTGTGAGCTTGTTGCCCTGGAAACAAGAGCTTGCTCTGGGAATAAACTAGGGGGAGGGATGGACTTTCAGATGACAGAAGAGCCCCACTCCCTTCTTGTCCCCTCAACCTTGTTCTCCTGAATCCAGTTGATTCTCTACCCAGGTCAATAAATAGATCGAGGGTTTTTAATACATAAACACTGAGTTAGGCCCCATGGGAAAAGATAAATGAGAAGAGAGCTGATTTTCTTTTCCCTTAATGAGTTCATAACTCTAGAGGGGAAGACAGACAACTACACTACCAAAAATACAAGGGAGAGTTGGATAATGCCATAATCGAGACGAATAATCTCCTGAGGGGAATACGATGCTTCTGGATGGATCGGGGGGAGGTTCTATCTCTCTTTGTTCCACTCTCCTGAGGAGGGAGCTGTCCCAAGCAGGGATACCAAGCCCCCAGGCATTCGGATTGTGTCCTTCCCTTGACAATAAGCTCCTTGAGAGCAGCAACTGTGTGTATACATCCTGCTGTTTTCCTTGGATGGGCAAGCACAGGGCTTTGCACATGCTAGGCATCTGAAGAAAAGAGGAGCCAAGTCTTTTCTACTGGATTCTACACTTTCCTTGATGGCAGGGTCATGTCCACTGAATCTCTCATGTCAGGTGGTGGGAACAATCATGTAGACAATGGGTTTAATCTTAGACCACCTTAGTTGTGTTACCTTGGGGAGGTGACAAACTTTCCAGTTTACTCATCTGGAAAATGGTGACACTTGGCTAAGCCGTATAGGATTATTGTTTGTTTTAGATTCCTAGCTGTGGGTCAAGTGGCTAGCATTGTCCTTGACACATAGCAGCCCTCAGTAAATGTTACTCTCCTTCCTCTCTTCTTCACACTCCTCTCCACTCAGCACCTAGTGAGGTGTTCTAACCAGAGCAAACACACAACAAAAGTTTGCAGAATGCAAAAGACAACTTTGGATGACTTCATCCCTTTTGAGGGGACAACAGTTCTGTCTCTGCGCATACCATCTCAGTTTTATTTTGGGAGCAAATGGAGTTTGAGTGTCTCCATTTAAACTGATTTTTAAAAAGTTGTTTCTTGGAACAGAAAGTGCTGAGGAAGCCCGGTTGGAGCGCACAGCTGATTTACCCTGGAGTCCTGGGCCCGGGGGAGGGGTCCTCCCAGCAGGTACCTTGACGCGGTAGATGCTGGTCCCACTCATGCTGCCGCTCCTGTCGATGAGGAAGATGAACTCTCCGTGGGCCTTTCTCAGGCTTGGCTGGACGGACTGGAGGTCAGGACAGAAGTTGAGCATGATGACAGAATGGTGGAGGATGTCTTTGTGGAGGCGTTTCCGGATGATTTCTGCCTGGAGGAGAAAGGAACACTCTGACTTGGGCAGTCAAGGGGTACAGAAATTCTCCTGGGGGCTCAAGCTGGCCCCCAGCCCTCAACATGTATCCAGATCCCACTCAGGCTCTGCACGAAAGATTCCCAGGTGGATTGTACTCTCAGCTCCTCTGTGTACTCGACCTTCTCAGGTCACAGTGGCAAACATGGACTTTGCAGACAGAATGACAATGACCTGGGTTCGAATCCCAGCTCTGTCACCATCTGACGGTGTGGTTTTGGGCAAGTCCTTCCTCTGGGTCTGTTTCCTCATTTGTAAAATGAGGCAAAGAAATATCTACTTCTCAGGGTGGTTGTGAGGATGGATGGAGCCAGCACACACATGGGAAGCCCTTAACCGAATAACAGGCTCTTGCTTTTTCACTCAGCGTGTGAGATGCTCTCTGGCTCATCATGATTGGGAACTTGGTTTCCCTGGTTTACTGATTCTCTCCTACTGATACACTCCTACTCACTCCTCAAATCTTGCCTGTTTGCAAAGCCTTCCCCAATCTTCCAGGTGGACTTAATTATTTAGTTTCTTCATCCACGAAATAGGACGAGAGCACATCCCTCATGAATTGTTGGATGGATTGAACACGATGCTTATGAAGCCTGCTGCCCAGCAGAGGGTAGAGGTCTTTAAACAGTGGCCATCGTTGTCTGGTGGACAGCAATGGTCTCTAAGCAGTAGCTGTCATTACCATTGCTGCCCTTGTGCTTTTCCTGAGGGCCCAGGTACTGCTCATACTGAAAGCAATTTTTTGCTCAGATCTCTGCCTCCATTCTAGCCTGTATGCTGCTCGAAGGCAGGCCATGCCTTAGTGTCTCTCTGGCTAGAAGAGCAGAGGCACAACAACAGCTCACTGCAAACTTGACCTCCTGGGCTCAGGTGATTCTTCCACTCAGCCTCCCAAGTAGCTGTGACTACTGGCATGTGCCACCACGCCCAGCTAATTTTTTATTTTTTAATTTTATTTTTGTAAAGACAAGGTCTCACTATGTTGCTCAGGCTGGTCTCTAGCTCCTGGCTTCAAGTGGTCCTCCGGTCTCAGCTTCCTAAAGTGTTGGGATTGTACAGGCATGAGCCACTGTGCCAGCCCTTGTTCTCTTTTGCATCTCTAGCATTTATCACGGGGCCTGGATCAGTGAGCATTACAGGAAGGACAGCAGCTAAGTGCTTATCATTTTATGTGACCTCACAGCTAGCCTGGAGGCCACACGTGGCTGTGAAACTTTCCTTGACTCTCCACGTGCTCACACACAGAATCTCACTCTCTCCATCTTCACTCTGCTTCCTCACTCTCCACCCTTTTGCTGTATCTCTTTATCTGTCTCCGTGCATACACGTGGCTCCCTGTGTCTGTTTCTCAGTTTTTGTCTATTTGGGTTCTTTCCCCATCTCAATAGATGACATCACCACCCACCTAGTTGTTTGAACCGAGCATCTAACAGTTGTCCTCGAATCCCCTTTTCCTTGCTCTGCACATTTCGTTCTGCAGCAGAGGACTGCCAGAACTGCTGCTAAAATACACCCTGAGCTCGTCCCCTTCGCTCTGTCTACACAACCACCACCCGAGTTCAGGAGAGGAGCAGTTCTTGCTGGACCTTTGCACCAGCCCCTTTCCTGGGCTCTTTATTCTCCTTTTATCTTCCTGTGGTCCATCCTGTAGAGAGCAGCCACTGTGACTATTTGTTCTGGTCATCCTCTTGCTTAAGCAATGGCCTCTCTGTGTATTTCGCACCAGGGTTTACAAAACCCCCTGTGGCCTGACACCTGCCTACCTGTCTACATCACTGCTACCCACTCTGCTCTCTACATTCCAGCCACACTGGCCTTCTTCCTGGCTCTAAACAGGTCGCCATCATTCTGCTTCCAGTCCTTCGTGTACCGTGCTTTCTCTACCCACTCCTTTCACAGTGGGCTCTTTGCCATATGATGGGTTTCGTTCTCAGACAGGCTTTGGTTAAATGCCTGGTTAAAGGGCACCCAGTGCCCATCACTCAGTAGCATATCAGCCCTCTCCAAACTGATCTGGCTCACCTGTTTGCTTTTGTCTGTCTCCTTGTTCTAGAATATAAGCTTGATGAGGCCAAGAAATGTGTCATTTCCAGTGTTGTCCCCTAGAACAAGGCCTGACATCTATTGGGTACTTAGTGTTTGTTGAGTGAATAAATAAGAGAATGAACCTATGTGGGTCTTTTTGTCTGCCACTGACCTGTATGTGCATCTTTTTGCTTTTTTTCAGTCTGTTTCCCTCTGCATCTCTGTCTCTTGGGCATGGTGTATCTCTCCCTGTTATTTGTCCTTTCTTTGCTAACTCACGGTGTTTGACAGCTCATCCTACCCACTCTTCCTGATGGATGTTCACCCTGTGGATACCCCCAATCCACTTTCTTTCCTGCCAAGGGATCTCGTGCTTCCTTCCACAAAGACCATGGCCTACCCTGACTCTTTTGAAGACAGGGCCCAAGGCAGTGGCTGCCACCAGTGAAAGGAGCTACTTCCTTTCCTGATTCCTGCCTCTCAGAGGGACGTGATGGGTGCCCTGATCAGGATTTTCTAATGTCTCAAGCTGCCATTATCCAATTACAATAAACTCATCACTTCTCAGCAGCTGTGGGTTGATCGCTGTCATCCCTGGAGCACATGAGAATGCAGGCTATTTGCATAACCAACCCAAGGTGGCAAATTAATTCTCATTTGCTTCAGCAGTCCCAGAGCTAATTGATTTAAGGCTTGGCAGGCAGGGTAGTCAGCCCCAGGCCTGGGAGGCCCATGGGGCCCCCCTGTCCACATGCTGCAGTTCTCAAAGCTCCATGGGACCCCTGGCATTGCCACCCCCACTGGGGACCTGACTCCAGCTTCTCCCATTGGACTCCCCTGCCTGAGGGGCACCGCTGGGAGGCAGGTGTTTCCAGTGGGGTTTCTACACATGGGGTTGATAAGATGGGCATTGAACTCTCCGAAATTTCCCCTCACTATCCCTCCTGCCCTCTGGCAAGCAGGCACCTCCAGGGGGCTCTGTAACAATGGGGATGATGGGAACAGCCAGCCATCTGCACTTCTCTGTCATCCACCCGCACCATCTCTGGAGCCAGCTAGGTCAGTAGAGAGTGGGAGGGGCCATTCAACCCAACGTTATTGCCCTCCCACGACCGAATCTTATCCCTTAACCTCCTCGTCATCAAATCAAACTCCCAAGATAACATTCTTTCCCTTCTTCCAGCTTACTGGTCATCTTTGGGTGCTAGACCTCAGTTTTCTCATCTAAAATTTGCCCAGGCCAGGTGCCGTGACTCATGCCTGTAATCCCAGCACTTTGGGAGGCCAAAGCAGGAGGATCGCTTGAGCCCAGGAGTTCGAGACCAGCCTGGGCAACATAGTGAGATCTCGTCTTTAAAAAGGGGGAGGGGCAATAAAAAGAGGTGTGCCATCGCTCTAAAACCTATCTTGGCATTCAAGACCTGGCTCAGTGTGTAGAGTCACGTGCAGGAGGCAGCACACTGGGTATGACTTGAGGCTGTCACTTAGCCTCCCACCATCTCCTTTCTTACCCTTGCCCCCCTGCCAGGCCACCTCCTTGTCCTGTAGTGTCATGGATGGGGGAGGGGAGCAGAAGGAAATAATTTTTCTCCAACTTTCCCACTCTGCCCTTATCCTTTATGTCATAGCAAGCAAGGGACCCAGAAGGAGGAAGGGCAGGAGCCCAGGAGGCCCAGAGGGAAACTGGGGAGGCATCCAGCTGGAGGGTCCTGGCCCTTTGGGGGTGCAGTAGCCTGGAGGAGATCAAGGCCATTTCTGCCATCAGCGGCAAATTTTGCCTGACTGAGACATCCGGGTGATCCTCGGAGAAGGTGGCCTGACAGGAGGCAGGTGACAGGGTCAGGGTGATGGCTGCATCTGGAAGTGCCCTACAGTGCCCTAGCCCATGAAGGACACCCTCTTGCCCGGGCTCTGTTTACAGCTTGCTGTGAAATCTTGGGCGGCGGTTCACCAGCACATCTGAGGCTCAGTCTCCTCACTGGCTCAATGGAGACTGGTTCTCAGCATCACCCCAGCTCTGTCGCCATCTGCCCCACTTCAAGGGCCCTCACCTTCTGCTCTGCACTGCTGGCCTTCTTCATCCCTTTAATGAAGTCTGTCCGTCCCTTCAAGTGCTGATCAAACTCTCCCAGTGTCATGTCCCCTTTCTCCATCAGGACATGTGGCATGTGGGGCTCTGCAGAGATGAGACCAACTCTCAGCACTTGTCCAGGCATGAGGGGGATGCCAGGGGCCTTGGTTTGGGGGCAAGATCTTCATAGGGCTGGGTCTCCCAGTTGGAAAGGAGTGGAAGCCCTGGCTGCCTGAAGCAGGTTGGCGCCATGGGTGACTCACTGCCCCTCTCTTGGCCTCAGTTTATCCATCTCTAAAATGGGAGTGGGACTGAGCTAAATGACTCTGATCCTTTCAGGTCCTCATATTCTGTGACATCTAGGAGAGTTGAGATTTGCTCCTTGGGAGTGCAGAGATGCCAGGGTCTCCCTGAACTTAGAGTTTCAAAGATCCTCTGCCCAGTGTCCCAAATGGGCAGATGAGACCCTAGGCCTCTGGAGCTTGAATCAGGACAGGAAACACTTGATTCCGCCAGCTAGAGCCAAGTTTCCCAGGAGGTGGGCAGTCAGTCTCCTCTCCACCATGTATGCCCTACCCTCTCCTTGCCTAGCCATTGAGTGAGGTGGCCATGTTTGTCCCCACAGGATGAGCACTCCCTCCCTCTCACAGGCAGCCTGGGGGCCCTTGTGGGAGCTGTACCACTGGGGTGGATGAGGATCTCCACGGGCCGGTCGAAGGTGTGCTTGTTGGCCAAGGTGATGATGATGCTCTTGGCCGAGCGGGCAGATGGGGCTGCATCGGCACGAATCTCGTGGGTGGGACTCTCTACCCCTGAGTGGCACAGAAGGCAAAGGGGTAGGCTCAGGAGTCCTGGGGGAGGTAGGAACTCGGTGGGGGACTCCAAGACCCAGACCAGAGATAACTGACATGCTAGCCTCATCAGTGGCCCCTGACCAGCCATGTGACCATGGACGGGCCTCCTCAATTTCCCCATCTATAAAACATGGGCTTAGATTGATGATGTCTGATGTCTTTTTCTGCCCTGAACTTGGATCCAGGAGGGGTAAGAGGAGTTGCTTCCTCTCAGGAAACACAAAGCACAAGGCATGCCTCCAAGCAGCTAGAGAACTCAACCCCCTGTCAGTGGTGCCTTTTGGCAGGTGTTCCTTAAATGCATGCTGCAGTAGAATGCTATGTTGCTCTAGGAGAAAGCTCAGGAAGCCACATCCTGGCATCCTTTTAAAACTCTTGAGAGGCTGGGGAGGAGAACCATCAGAGCAATGCTGTAGCCTCACTGCACGTTAGAATTGCCTGGGGAGCTTTTCACTGTTTCCCGGGACATACCCCAGAATCTCTGGAGGGGAAGTCTAGGCTGCAGGATGTTTGAAAGCTCCCTGGGTACTTCTGACAAGCAGATAAGGTGAGAACCAGGAAGTTGCTGTATGGTTGTAGTCTTCAGGAGAGGACCAGGGAACATCATTCCCCATGAATATTTCCCAAGGAAACCATTGGGGTGGAGGTGGGTGGCCTGGAATCTGTCCCGGGAATCTGTCCCATCTTTGGGCTGCTTGCTGGGGGCATGAGAAACAGGGGTCCCATAAGGCCCTGTGTGGTTTGGCTTGCCTTCTGTCTGGGTCCATCGACTTCCCTGTCCTCTCTTCCTTTCTATCCCTGGCAGCTTTTGGCCTGAAGCCCTCCCACCCCACCTGGACAGCTCCCTCTCACCTGCGAGCAGACATGGCCCACGGATCTCCAGCTGGAAGTTGAACTCATACTCCATGGGGTTGGACACATCGGTGTCCAAGAGAGTCGCCAGGCACAACTTGTTCCAGGAGTCCAGGGTCCGGGTGCCGAAGCAATGCCTGTCTTTGCTGGGAAGGGGCCAGGAGGAGGAAAGGCAGGCAGTTAGGCCAGAGGCAAGGGCCTGGCACAAGAAGACACAGAGAGAGCAGTGAGTCCTAAGCAGCCCAGTCTGCCAACAGGGCCCCCAGACCTGGACTCTCCCACTCAACCACACCCCAGGGAGAGCCTAGATTCCAACACCAGGCCCAGCTACCTCCAAGGAGCACCTACAATGGGCCAGACACCAGGCATGGTGCCCCAGGGTGCCAGTTCTTTGTGTCGGGGCCCCACTTTCCACATGGGAAAGCCGAGGCACAGTGAGGTGAGGTGATTGGCCCAAGTTTCCACAAGTAGGACTCAGCAGAGCTTGCTTGCTGGCCCAAGTCACCTGGTTCCACAGTGAGATGGTTTGCACTACGTTACACCGTGTCTCGAATCCCTGCACTGTCTCCGTGAGCTGCGAGCCCTTGGTCAAGTCATCTCTCCTCTAAGTATTGGCTTTCTTATCCATTATATGGGATAATACTTATACAGTTGTCTTGGGGATTCTGTAAGCGGCTGCTTAGCCAAGTGTCTGCCACCTGCTGGACACTCACGTTCCGGGGCCTTCTTTCTCTGCGATCCTCCACCCCATCTCCCATCCTGCCCTGTCGTCCTCCCCTCCACAGGTACAGCCTCTAAGGTCTTTGATCTGTGTCCTTGATTATGTGCATATCCTTGTAAAATATGGGGTGGCCAGTGGCATTGAGGCGTGATTGTTCTTTTAACTGATAACTTGTCTTATATACAATTGTCTATATTATGAATCTCATTTGATCTCTTACTTTTGTCGACTCAATGCTATGTTTAAGCTCTGTCCAGGTGGCTGCAAACCAAAGTCCTTGCTGCGAACTTGGTGTCGCTTGGGGACATCCATTGCATTGTGCTTGCTTGTGCCCACCTCCACTTCCCTGCATCCACAAATGACACCACCATGAATATCCTTGTCCATGTCCCCTCAGGTCTTGTGAAAGAACATCTCTGGGCTCCCTGGGTCCAGGGACACACTGGGGATTACCAGGTTGCTTTCGGGGTGGCCGTCCCAGTGTCCATTTCCATCTGCAGTGAAGAGAGCTTGCATCCCTCCACATCCTCATTAATACTTGCTGTCATCTGTTTTTCTCATTTTCTTTTGCATCAATCTATCTGAGCTACTTTGAGATTCACAGGGATTTGGTGTGGGCTTTCTCCAAGAGTGTCACCATTAACTCTGCCTGCTGGAATGGGCGGGAATGAGTGTACGAGACCCACTTGGAGGCATCAGGGGCCCCCCGAGCCTCTTATTCCCTGATCCACTGAGGCCCTGAATGTCCCAGCAAGGCCCTGCCTCTCAAAGGCGCGAGGAGCATAGTTTAGAATGGCAGCTTTTGTAAAGACAACATACAGGCTGGTGTTCCCTGGTCTGAGACCAGCTGTGTTGCCAGCTTCTTTCTTGTGCCAAGTATCCTCATCCTGGCCTTCACGGCCCTACATGACCTGACTCCTCACCACCTCTCTGACCTCTCTCCTTTCTCTCTCACTCTGCATTAGCCATACTAACCTTTCTGGGGGCTACTCAAACACACCTGGGCCACTACCGCCTTGGGGCATTTGCACTTACCACTCTCTCCACATGAAATATTCTCCCTCCAGAATATTTCCATGGCTTGCTCCCTTCCTTCAGGTCAGGACACAAGTGCTGCCTAATCCTTGTCAAGTCTAGCTAAAATAGCACTCCCCTACAACATCCCCCTTTGTCCCCTTTAGCACTTATTTTCATAAAAAATGACCTCAGCTTGGGTGCCTGAGGCTGTGACCTATTTTCTTTCCCTCCGGTTCCACCACTGGAATACAGGGAAACTGTCAGGTACCTGGTGTGTCATGGTCCCCTCCCTGCCCTGCTGGAAACCCTTCTAATGGCTCCTTGTTGTTTCTGGGAGAAATGCAACACTTTAGCCTGGGCCACAGGGCATCCTCTGCAGCCTCCTTACGTGCCCCCTGTGCTACTGTCCCTCTCTGGGGCCCCGTCCTTGCTACCCCAGGGACTTTGCCCTTGCTGGTCTCACTTGTTTGACTGTTCCTCCCTGTGCCTACACCTTCCTTGTAGTTCAGTCCTCAGTTGAAATATTACTCCTCAGAGAAACCTGGCCCCTGAATCCCCAGGCTGGCTTCCTTTTTGATACTCTTAGCTCAATGAGCTTCTCCTTCACTGCACTTTTCACAAATTAATGATACATTCCAAGACATAAACAATTAGTCACACATTCGTTGTGTTTATCGGTTGGATAACATCCCTTCCACTAAGTTCCAGAAGGTCAGGAGCCATGCTTATTCCATTTTCTCTCTATCCCGAATACCCAGCCCAATGTCTAGCACATAGTAGGTGCTCAGAAAATACCTTGGTGAATTAAAACATAAATCCTGGAAATTCTGAATTCAAAGCTGCCCCACTTTCACAACTTCTGGCCAGTGCCCACATAGGGGCACTGCTGGGAGAATCTTAAGATGCTCTGAGAGTGAGTGGGAGGAGCAAATTGCTCAGAGGGCAGCAGCTGCGGAGTCTCGCGTTTCACCTCCTCCTCCCTGCCCCCTCCCCCACCCCGACCCTTACTGATGTGGCCTGGCTGACTCTCTGCAGCCTACCTGAGACTGGCCCTGGTCTGGGCAGGGCCTCCTTACCCCTGGGCCTGTTGGCTGGAGGTGCCGGTGGTCTCAGTGCAGAACTGGGGCACAGTTGGGGCGCAGACAGCAGGCAGAAGGACCCTCACAGCTCCGCTGGGCAGAGTCAGGAGCTCTGAGGACGTGCTGATGAAGACATTGACGTTCTCCATGGGGGTGATGGTCCCCAGGTTGACCACGAACAGCATTCGCTCCAAATCCTCATCCAAAGCCACCCTTCCCGGTGTGCAGGAATGAGGGCCGATGGAAACCACCTCTTGCAGATTGTCTCCTAAGTGCCAGACTGGAGTCAGAGGCTATGCACGGATTATCTCGGTTTCCCTGTAAACTCACTGTGTGGTAGGTTTGAGGTGTCCCTGTTTGCTGATGGGAAAACCAAGACTCAGCAAGGGCGTGTGACTTGCCTAAGTGACTTGGGGAATAACTCAATGAACCAGCATCTGAACCCACATGGGTTTGACTCTGGGCCTGTATGCTTTCTGCTCTGCCTTGCTGGGAGTGGGAGATTCAGATCCACAGACGCCCCCAGAGAGGGTCACATACTTATCCTGCAAACTGTGACCCCCCTCAAGAGCCAAATGGCAGCACGCCCCACCTCTGGGACCCACAATTTTGCTCCTGCTCTTTCCTTTTATCTGAAAGACCCGTTCCATCATCCCTGTCTGCCAGTCCCACCCGCCCATCCGACCCCTCCATGAAAACCTCCCTAGTCCCCAATCTGGGCCCCTCTTTCCCCTCTAACATTAAGGCCTCCCTTGGCACAGCCATCATCGCTACTCGAGGCACACCTTAACTATTCTGCTAGGCCCTAAGAAATCAGAATTCAAGGACAACTTTGTACCTTACACACAAATGCCTACAAAATATCTCAATAATCAGGTGAAAACACTTCACTCTGATCACAGATACAATGATAATTTCATAGGATACTTGGTCTGGGTTCAAGGCCCGGCTCTGCCACTAATATGCTGAGTGAACTTGAACCAGTTACTCTCCCTCTCTGAGCCTCAGTTTCTCAATAGCAGGCATCAGCAACCATGCATTGAGTATTTACTATGATGTAGGTACTCTGCATGCATTGTCCCGGTTGGGCATCAGGGGGTATAATTATTTATTCCATTTTATTTATTTAATTAATTTTTTGAGTGGGAGTCTCACTCTGTCACCCAGGCTGGAATGCAGTGGCACACTCATGACCACTGCATGACTTACTGGGCTCAGGTGATCCTTTTGTCTCAGCATTCCAAACAGCTGAGTGCATGCCACCATGCCTGGCTAATTTTTTGATTTATTGTAGAGACGAGGTCTTGGCAGGTTGCCCAGGCTGGTCTCAGTCCCCAGAGCTCAGGCAATCCTCTTGCCTCAGCCTCCCAAATTGCTGGGATTACAGGCGTGAGCCACTGTACCTGGCTTTATTTATTCCATTTCGTAGATGAGGTGACTTTCTTATCTAAGCTCATACCACTTATGGAAAAGAGTCAGACCCAGTGTGACTCACCCTAGATAGGGTTGTTTTTGTTTTTTTTTTTTGAGTCAGGATCTCACTCTGTAGCCCAGGTTGAAGTGCAGTAGTACCATCATAGCTCACCACAGCTTCAACCTCCTGGGCTCAGGCAATCCTTCCACCTCAGCCTCCTGAGTTGCTGGGACTACAGGCACGCACCACCATGCCTGGCTTATTTTTTTGTAGAAATGGGATCTTGATATGTTGCTCAGACTGATCTTGAACTCCTGGACCCAAGCTATCCTCCCACCTCTGCCTCCCAAAGTGCTGGGATTACAGGCTTGAGACACCACGTGCAGACTCTCTAAATATATCTTAAAAACCCTTTGCTGCCTCCCTCCTTTGATCCTTACACTTTTGAAGTGAGAACAGGAAGTCAATTACCTCTGTTTTACAGACAGTGAAATCAAGGTTCAGAGAAGTTAATTATTGGCCCAAGGTGGCACAGGATTCCATCTAGCTCAGTGCTCTCTCCCTCTCTCTTCCCCCATCCCATGGCTGCTCTTGTAGTCTGCCTGAGGCTCCAGCCCAGGCAGCCTCTGGCCAGGCCCAGCCCCCACCACAACCCCTCTGGTCTCCTTACCTGTGACAGTTGTGGATCGGACATGGGAGGCATCCAAGTGGCCACTCTCCAGCTTGGCTTTGTCTTTTATCTGTACGGTTACGATGCGGTCAGCAATGACCGCCTCGAAGCCGATCACCGTGGTGTATTCATCCAGTGGGTACACGAAGAGGCCTACCGGAGAAGGGCCCAGCATCAGGGGGTGCTGGGCCTCACCTTGCACTCCCTGCTTCTGGAAAGGATCCCCAGCCTCTGGCCTGCCAGAGGGATGGTACTCACTGTCACTTAGTGGATGTCAAGAGGCCTTGGCAGAGAGCCAGGCTAGGGTCTCCTGGCTCTGGAGCTGGGCCGGTAAGTGCAGCGGCAGGCCAACTATTCCTTGCAGGAGTGTGAGCCTAGTGTGGCCAGAACTTCTGATTTCCCAAGAGAGTGGATACATGGATTTTTATGGAACTTGCTTTGTAGGCTCAATAAAGTACATCTGTGTGGGGATTTGGTCCCTAGGCCACCAGTTTGCTACCTGTGACACAGAGACCTGGAGCTCTAATCCAGACCCTGCCATGCTTCCTAGTCAGAGGACCTTTGATAAGACATTTCGTTTCTCTAAACCTCCTCGCCCCTCCTGTAAGATGGGGATAATAAAACCACACTCACAGGGTCAATGTGAGAATTGAAAAAAAAGGCCGCCATGTATTAAGTTATATGCCCCAAGTCTGTGCCATGTGTTTTTATATCTCAGTGCTTCTCAAACCTTAGAAGCTTCCGAATCGCCTGGGTCTTATTAAGCCGCAGATTTGGATTCAGGAGTTCTGGGGCGGGGCCTGAGATCTTGCATTTCTAAGCAGCTTCTGAGTGAGGCTGATGGCTCGGGGGACCATACTTGGAGTGTCAAGGTCCGTACAATCTGCTCTCTGACGCCGGGGCAGCACAAAACTGGGTCCATGGTATGTGCTCCACAAACCTTGGCTGTCTGTCCCTCTGGACCTCAGTCTCCTCATCTACAAAATGGGAGGATGTGTTCCTTCTGCCGGTGTAAAGCCAAAGGGCTGTTCACAGTTGTTCAGTAACTTAGTTTTCTGGGTCCCCAGGTAGGTCCTCTTTTAAGCCAGCCCCTCTAGGTTTCCTCAAACAGAGGAACAGGGCCATTTGCTCTGCCCAGGTGTTTTCTAAGGGGAAAGAAAGTTCTCTACATGTCCTCTTTTATCGTGTAGGCCACCAGGGCAGCCCTGAGATGGTTTTAGAACCTTAGGAGGGGCTGGAGGTTGGTGTCCAGATACATGAAGTTTAAAGGTTAGGAGGCCCAGCATGGCAGATGAGAAGGCCCTGGCCGGGCCTGCACCCTCCTGATGAGCCTTCCTGTCACTCCTTTCCCAAAGTGGAGGGAGGGCATTTGATTTCCCAGTGACTCTTGCAGACAAGCATGGGTCTACACCCCTGACTACCCATGGTGTGACTCATATTCGAACGTGGCTTTTCAATTTACAATGCCCTGTCTCGTGCATCCCCTCATCTTCTCCTCCACCATCCCTAGTGCCCAGACAGCAGAGAGGAGGATATCTTGATTTCAAGGGGGGATAGCAGTTTCCCCAGGGTCATAGGAGCAAGGGCCCTGCCTAGGACTGAGGCTTCTGGTTTTGACAGCATCTTGATGCCTCTCTCCTACTGTGGGGCTCCCTGGAGAGAGTGTGGAATTGACCATTGGACCATTGGGGCGGTTGTCTGGAGCTGAACCCAAACTTTCTCGACTCAAATCCTGGCCTTCCTGCTATTTACTTTGAGGTCTACAAAGCAGAAATGGTAAATGGTCTTCCTCTTTTACAGGAAACTGAGACTCAGAGAGGTCACACGACTTGCCCAATGTCAATCGGCTAGTAAACATCAGGATAGGAATTCAACATGGAGGGAGAGGCCCCAGGGAAACCCCAATAGGGGTCCTTACCCTGGAAGGGCTGGGCTTCCAGGTTGCCATAGGTGAGGGAAGCAGTTAGGCCCAGGGCGTAACCACTGACGAAGGAGGTGACATCAGACGCCGTGAGGGGCAGGGCTGCCCCTGTGATCTGATTCAGCAGACCGGGCATCCCGCTGGCTACTCAGCCGTCAGGGTCTGCAAGAGACAGGAAGGGCAAGAGGTGGGTAGAGGCCCCTCCTATATCCCCCAACTCAGCTTTCACAGATCGGACCCCTAGCCAGCAATCAAAGCGTCATTCTCATTTCCCCCAAGAACTTCCCCATTAGTGACCCCATGATAACTATCAATCGTCCCTGAGAAGAAGAGAAACCACCATTCTCTTTCGATTTCACAGGTAGAGACATGTGACCTGCTGGAATTAACTCAACAGCTTGGAGCAAAGGCCCCAAGGAGCTTCATATTCAACCTGGAATTCTCCCTAGCAGACCCTGCTGGAAGGAGTTAAGGGACGCCCCATCCTTTGTGCATCCCCCAGTCCCGGAGTCCTGATGTTTTTTCTGCCGAATTAGGGTGTTGGAAAGCTCACCGTGTATCCCCTTCTCTGACTTCAGTGAATCTCCTACTACAGTTGACACTTTGGTGGTGAGGGACACCCTTGAGAGATACCAAAATGAGGGAGCCCCCAGATGTAGAGGCCAAAGCCTGGGAGTCATTCCTGCACCTCCTCTTGCCACCTCCACACCCAACCCATCGCCGAGACTACGACTCATCTCTGGAAAAGCCCTTGTATCCATCCATCCATCCATATCTTTCTTCCTTGGCCACCGGCACCCTGTCCCGGGCCACCACCAGCTCCTAAATGGTCTCTTGACTCTACTATATACTCCTGGAATCTGTTCCTCACCCACTGGCCAGAATCAACATATGGACTCAGAAACTGGGGAGGTCTCCACCCACCTCCCACACCCTCATCTACCCACCAATGGCTCCCGTCACTCTTGAGACAGAGACCCAAACCTTAGGGTGGCCTGAGGTCCTGCTGGCCTCCCAGTCCATCATCACCAAACACTCCTTGTTGATCTCAGCAGCTGTCATCCCTCACGTGTCCTGCTCTTTCTACCGCCATCATTGCCACTCCACCTGGGAAGACCTACTTCACATTTCTCTTAACTAGTTACCTCTTACTCATCCTTCAGGGTCCGGTCAGTCCCCCTCTGCAGGGAGGACAGGCCAGGGTGCCCAGCACCCTCTGTCATCCCTCTCACTGAGCCAAGTTTCTCTCCCCCGGGGTATTTTGACCCATTTGTAGTGCTATGCTTTGTTTCTGTGAGATGATTTTATACTGTCTGTCACCTCCATTAGAGTGTACGCACCACACATGCGGATACGGGCCAGGTCTATTTTTGCCTGCCATTGTGTAAATCCTCTGTGAGGACTGAATGAAAAAGGATGCAAGGCTTTCCTCCTCCTGATGTGAAGGCCTTCCCAGCCTCCTCAGGGCCACATCTTGGTGACCTTGTAGCCTCCCGAGAGCCACCCAAGTAATCACCTGTGGGGTGCGGGGTGGGGATGGGAAGCAGAGTCAACCAAAGTTTGCAGAAGACAAATCTGAGTTCAGCGTCTTCTGGGAGTTCCTCTCCTGGTGTAGGAGCCGGAGAAGGCTTCCCTGGGCTGATAACCTCGGTTACTTATTTGCAAAGCTGTTCAGTGAGTGCTGATGACTCCGCCTTTTCTCAAAGAAGGGACAGCTCTCCTCTGGGTCCTCTTCATGTCCCCAGCTGAGATCCTCAGGTGCTCCCCCGCACCCCAACACCCTGAACAGGCCACCAGTGGCTTTTTAATTATCTTCTCCCTCTCGGCTCCGGCCCAGACAGCGCTCAACCCTGTCTTATCTCCTGTCAGGCTGACTAACAGCAGAAGGCAGATAAAGAGCCAGGAGGGAGCTGCTGTGTCCCCAGTGGCCCTTTCCAGAGTTCTCTGTCCTGGTGGCTAGAACAAAGCCTGACGACTCCCAGGGGGCAAGACAGGATGTAGGAGTTCATTTCCTGACAGAGCCACATCTCCTGCTCCCCAGGCTCTCTGCCCGCTCCTTCTCATCTTGGTCCACTCCTATCCAGAATGCTGATTGGGGAATACCGCTTTAGGGATGTGTGGCGAACTGGGACTTCAGAGATGCACAGTGAACTCAAACTTAAGCTTCAGCCCATCTTGGGGTGGAGTTCTGCCAAGGACATCCCAGTCTTCCCACACTGTCCTTCTGGGAAGCAGGGCCTAGATGAGAGATGTCTGATTACAAAGGGTAGACTCCCACTAAGAATGTTAGGACCTCTTGGAGAGAGGAAAAAAAACTCTGTGGGGCCTATTTAATGGATATTTTTCATCAATTCATTCAGCATTGATAAGCACCTACCATATTCCAGGCCCTGAGTTAGTTACTGGTGATACAAACTGGAGACACAGCCCTAATTTCCAGGAGATTATCATCTAGAAGCAGGGGAAATTTGGGAGTGGGAAGGATCATGGAGATGACACCTGGAATTTATTAAACTAAAAATGTGCCAGGCCTATATATTATCTCATTTAACCCTCAAAAAACTTATAAGATGTTATAAGGTATTATTCTTCTGCAGATGAGGACATGGAGACCTCAAGAGGATTGTGTTTTGTTCTGGATGTGAGTTTGGGGTGCCTGAAGGGCATAGAGGCACTATGGGTGCGTGTGTAGGACTTTCTTCCGGGAGAGGCCCAGGGTTACCCCTGTGAGGGATGGGGACCAGAGCGGATTATGCTGAGTGTCCTCCCTTCCAGCTCCACCTCAACCTGGGCCTCAAGGGGCACAGAAAACAGGAAACACCCAGGGGATAGGGACGAAGCTACCTAGCATCTCTAGGTCAGCAGGCTCAGCCTTGGGAATGGTGTCTGGTGTGAGCAGGGCTGAGGGTGTCAAGGTCACTATTTATTATGTTTAGCTTTCCCACCTCTTCCCTTGATCTGCTGCATAGCCTGTCATTGCTCAGTTTCCTGACTTGTGGGTGATGAATCTGGAAAAGAGCTGGTGAGGTAAGAGAAAATGGAAAGGGATTCAGTGGGGCTGGGGCCAGGCTGGGAGAAGGGGCTAGGGAGAAGAGGGAGGGAAGGGCTTAAAAAGTCTGAGCCAGTAGGCACAGTGACTCACACCTATAATCCTAGCACTTAGGTGGGAGAATTGCTTGAGCCCAGGAGTTCAAGACTAGCCTGGGCAACACAGCAAGATCTCATCTCTACCAAAAAAAAAAAATTGACTGGGCATAGTGTTGCACACCTGTAGTCCCAGCTACTCAGGAGGCCGCAAAAGGATCTCCTGAGCCCAGGAGGTTGGGGCTGTGGTGAGCCATGGTCACACTACTGCACTCCAGTCTGGGTGATAGAGTGAGACTCTGACACACACACACACACACACACACACACACACACACACACACACACACACAGAGAGAGCAAGGGCCTTAGAGCCATAGAGAGTATTGGGGAGATTGACAAAGAGGATTTTTTAGGAAGAGGTGCCATGAGTTATAAATTGGGCCCTCTTTCATTTTCTCTAAGAGGCACATAGAAAGAATGATTTGGGGCGCTGCCCTGTGTTTCTTTCATGAAAGGCTGGGCTGAACTGGACACTAAGAGTTTTACATGACCAGGCTCGGTGGCTCAGCCTGTAATCCCAGCACTTTGAGAAGCCGAGGTGAGTGAATTGCCTGAGCCCGTGGGTTTGAGACCCACCCGGGCAACTTGGCGAGATCTCATCTCTACAATAAATCAAAAATTAGCTGGGCATGGTAGTGCGTGCCTGTAGTTCTGGCTACTTGGAAGGCTGAGGAGGACAGATTGCCAGAACCCAGCAGATTGACACAGGAGTGGCCGTGAGTGTGCATGCCACTGCACTCCAGCCTGGGCGAATGAGTGAGACTCCAACTCAGAAAAAAAAAAAACCTCCAACTCAGAAAAAAAAAAAAGAGTTCTACATGCTTGGAGGAGGGTCCTGGTGTGTCTACTAATTACCAATTGTATCTCAATGGCCTAGAAAATACAGATTCCCTATGGTTGCTGTCCTTCTGGGCAGTACATTATTTATGTTTGTGCCTGGCACATACTAGGTGCTCAATAAATATTTCTAAAGTGAAACAGATGACTGAGTGTCAACAGCCTGCCAAGGACGCCAAAGGCCACTAGGCGCTGGGGATGCGGTAGGAACAGGGAGGTGTGAGTCTAGGCACTAATGGAAGAGAAAGCTTGTAAATAAAGCAGCAAGTTCAGAGTCTGGCCCCTTCTTCTTGTCACTTTCACTGCTGCAACCCCATTGTCTCCCTATATTCTATTCTCAGTGGAGCAGCCAGAAGGACCCTCTGAAGACAAGGACCCAGTCATGTGACTCTGTGGCTCAGGTCTCCTGGTGGTTGCCCCCATCCCTCAAGACCCCACTGATCTGGACACCTCCTGGCTTCCCTTCTGACCTCTCCCTTAATGATTCTACCCCATCCTGTCTCCTGTCTCAGCAATTTTGCCCTGGCTGTTCCCACAGCCTGGAAGGCTCTTCCTCCAGGTATTGACGAGTTATGCTCTCTCGCCCCTTCAAGTCTTTGCTCCAGTGGCGCCTTCTCAGAGAGACCACCCTGACATCCTGCTTTAAACTTGCAACCCATTCCCCCCGCCTTTCCTTCTGATCCCTCACCCTGCTCTGTTTGGATTTTTTCCAGAGCTCATCTCACTTGTACATTACACAGAAAACATGTATTGTGTTTATTGCGTATCATCTGCCTCCCTCCACAAGGACGGGGCCGGGGCCTGTTTTTCCTCACTGATATATTCTAAGTGCCTTTAAACGTGCTTGCCCTCAGCAGGGGATGAATAAGTATTTGTTGAATGAATGCATGATTCTATATGACAAGCTGGCTGGCCATTTCTGGACCTTGCTTGGGTCCAGCTGAGGGGGAGAGAGAGATTCTCCGGCACCTCTCTGAAGAGGCCCAGGGCTGCTCTTCAGAAAAGCTGCTGAGGTGAACCCATTAGGCTCTCATTCTTGTGTTCATCAGCCAAGACCCAAACCTACCCTCCCTGCTGGCCACAGGTTCCACCCAGTTTGTAACAGACCATCAACCCACAGGGGATGCTCAGTGTTTCTGTGCCCCTGAGCCAGCTCCTGGCCACCACCCACCTCT